AGTTCGGTTCGGTTGAGCGTTAGCCGGAGGCTGTTGCTCGGATCGAAGGTCAGCGGGTTGAGGTTCCGGATCCTGAGGGTCCGGATCTCTTCTGTTCGGTGATCCGTCGATCTGGATCACGGGATCCGGGATGGATGGATTCGTTGCCCGGTTGGATGGATCCATTCTCAAGTTACGGAGTGAAGGATTCAATTATCTCTTCCCCACAGACGGCGCCAAAATGTGAGGGGTAAAACTCACTTCCTAGTTTAGGTTAGGTATAGATTGGGAAAAGACAATCGTGGGCTGAATCCTGTTGGAACTTGTATGAATGAATACGTTGTTTATATTGATTTTTGGTAATAAAGGAGTTTACAAAGATGATCTTGACGATCTGAATAGGAAGAACAATGATTTATAGAGAATGACTAAGAACAAAGTGTATTGGAGTCTCTCTCTCTTGAATGAGTCGAATCCCCTCTCTCTGATCTCTTCTCTTCTTTATATAGCACTAGGTCACGTTCAACTTCCTCCGACGAAGCCTCCATGATTATCTCCGTGAGTTGCGGGATTTGCAACAGCTTCCCCTTGACTAAGTCTTGCACGTTTCTATCTCCGTTTCCTAGGCTGTTTCGTCAGGTCCCTACGAAAGAATCCGGATCTCTTCTCTGTGACCTCCTTCTCGTGACCTCTTTCTCGAGAGCAGCTTCCTTCCTTAGGTGAGCTGTATTGTTCTTTGATGTAATAGCCCATATTCGGCCCATTATTGGGCTTGGTTTAACTAGTTCGCTAACTTCAGCCGACGGGCCATATTTGGGCCCAACAGTCTCTATATCATTATAATCCTGATTACCTGAATAGAAACTCTAGATCTAGCAACCATCCTTCCATCGAACAAATCTTTGCCAAGCTGAATAATTACCTTGGTCATTTTGTTTACTGTTTTCTAGTTTATTTACTGCATTATTACCCATTAGCCTAGCTTAATCATATAACTATTAGATCTAATTGATTCCCTAGCTCCTTGTGGATTCGATCCCTAAGTACTACAATTGAACCTCTTATTTGAGAAAGTAATTCACTCCTTAGGATTAAATATTTGAGTGATATCAATTTGATATACAAACCTACTCTGGGAGCATGAAAAAATATGATATCAGAGAATTAAGAAAATGCAGCTATGAGTGCATGTTTCGACCTCCACGCAAATGATAAAAATTAATCCAGAGTGAATGCTACATGCTTGCATTTTAATCCGACTCAATCTTCTTGCAAAGAATATGAAAATATGAATACCACATTTTAGTGAATCTTTTCTGAATTCTTAAAATATTAGTAGAATTACTTTAAATGACTTAATCTTCTGATTTAATATGCTACAGTCCAAAAAAAAATCAGGGTAAGTCAAAAAAATGGACAAATCTGTATGGTGTAGTCACAAATATAATTTGTGCATGTTTCTTTGTATGCCTATATTCAACTTTCACTTATTTTAAAATTAAGTTCAAAAACAGATGGACAAAGTTAAATAAAATTTAAATATCTTCATATATTTGTTAAAAGATTTACTGAGAACACAAATACAATTTTAAAATTAATAAAATATACTATTGTACAAAATCCCGGGCGTAGCGCCGGCAAACCCTAGTTTTTATATATATTTAAGATCCAATAGTAAGACTTGTCCATAATACTATTGTCGTGTCTTTGTTTTTTAATTTCATAGGTTAGTTGATTTGGTACAAGGTTGTATGTTAAATTAGGGTTTCCTTTAAAGTTCAGAGATTTAACAACAACCAAATACCATTTAAAGTTTATCAGAACGTCTTATGCCATTGCCATAATAGCCTTAGGATACATATTATCAACTATCTTAAAAGAGAGCTAGAAGGTTTGTGATACATATCAACTATCTTGAAGGAGAGCTGGAGAAGATAGAAGACTATTTTTTTTTTGAACTGTAAAAGACTGATTATTGATCTGCAAGATTATTTAGAAGTACGTAGTACCCACGATTAAGTTGAAAATCGGAAACAAACTAGAGATAGAGAGATGCAACGGCATCTCTAAGATGCGTTCTGCATAACCTGAATGATCGATGCCACAGTCTGGATGAGTGACATCACTAATAGAAACGTAGCTGCAATGGTGGCTGTCCCTGTCCACAGGTTACCAAAATACACACGCTTGAGGACGGCCATTGACCTATTCACCGGGTCTGTATAGTACGCGTTGACTTTAACCACCGTATCATAATAGTAACTGCCATGATCTAAGATTCCCAACCCGAGCTTGTTTACCATTCGCGCCACTGAAGCAGGTTCCCCAATCCAGTTCTCTATGATTCCTTTCAAAACCGAAACCCCCATTCAATACACACACACATATGTAGAATGATATAAATTAAATAGATAGAAAGGGGTTACCTTTCTGGACAAGCAAGTCAACGTCTTTATCAGTATCAATGAGGTAATCTAGGAAATCGACGTAGTTACATACGAGGGCATTGTAAGGGTAATGGCATTGCTCAAGAGCCATTACGTTTCTCAGTTCCATCTCAAGTTTATCTACAACCCTAAGACAAGGCATCTTCAAACAACCATTCTCGAATCTCACATCCAACGACAACTCTTCTTCTAGGGCCTTAAGTGTTACTCCCCCACTATCTAGCTTATCCGCATTATACATATGTTGTATGGGGTTACGTTTCTCTTCATCATGCTTAGGAAGTGTCTCCACGCGAACACACCTGTTCAGATCAGTTAAATGTCTAAATTTGGAATTCTCTCCGATTTTACCTTGGAAGTCGAAGTATTCTATGATTAGATTCCGGAATGTTTGGTGCGGGTAGATTCTTGGGACGATTGGATCAAAGAGTTTCTCAAGGATGACGTAAGGAAGTTGGTTCTCGAGCAAGATGAGATCATCCTTGACCGTGTCTTCAAGACAAGGCTCGACCATGAGAGGATCACCTGTAATCTCTGGTTCTGTTTCCATATGCCTCAGTATGAACTCTATTATGAAAACAGAGTCATGCAGGACCATCTCCACGAACTCTGTAGATTTAATCCATGCCGTTGATTCCGAATAGTTCTCCCTTATTGCCTCTTCCTCTTCTTCGATCATTCTTCTTAGTTCACTGATGGTCTTTTCCCCTTCAACCCTTTGTGCGAATTCCGTTAGGTAAACTTTCTTATGCTCCTCCATATTTAAGTAACCCAGTGACTTTGTGTATGTGATATCTCCAAGAAGATCAAGAGCCTTAAGAGCTTGAGATTTTAATGAATGGTGAAGAGGTCCAATGAGGACTAGTTGAGGCGTGTAAGCTTCTGGGTTTACTTCACGTATACAGTTCGGGACTCTGTAGATACAACACATGTCATGATTTTTAGGATACCTCCACATCCCTGGATACATCCTTCTCGGCTGCGATAAATCCATAATCCAAAACCTGGACTTGTACAACAAATTCAGTGAAAGAATTGACAAAGCTATGAGAATACCAGGTGACCTTCGAAATTTACTCACTCTTGGGAGAAAGAAGAGATGTGTATATATGTCCGAGTCGAATCTGATAACTTGAGCCTACTCAAATGATTACTTATTACTTTTTTCACTCTTACTACATTTTTCTCTGTTTGTTAAACTACATAAATAGATGTTTTTCGGGGTTCAGATTCAAAATAATGAAATACAAAGTCGTTTAAAATAATTATGTAATTAAATGTATTATATACTCCCTCAATTTCATTAATCATTATAACTATCGTTTAAGAAAAAAAAGTAGATTTTCTGTTTTTTTTCTCTATTTAATACATTATTTATTTGATTTTTTAACTAATGAACTAAAAATAAAGGTAAACTAGATGATAACCAGCGCGCATGCGCGGGGTGAAATTTTTATACTAATATTTATTCATTAAATGGTTTATAACATTTTGCAATACTACAATATTTATCGATTATAAAATGATGAATACAAATGTTGGTATCTTAAATCATCATAGGTCTGGACGTTTGAGACTTTGTCGGTTTTAGTTTGATTGACACGTATCAGATTTTGGTATTATTCTCATAAATCCTATTTGAATTTTACTAATTATCGGATTGGATTCGATTTGATCTTCTCAATTCAGTTTGGATTGGATTGTAACCAATATCTGAAATCATCCCAAAAAATTTTTGTTAAACATTAAAAGTTGACAAAAAATCAAAATATTTAAAGTATTAATAAATCTAATTTAAAATTAGTTAAATTATCTAAACAAACTAAAAGATATTAAAAAAAAAGCAAATAAAACAAACTACAAATCTTTCGAATACTATAATTTGTATCTATTAACCACAAACCTTTTCACTGAAATTTTTAAATTAACATATTTATAGTATGAATATCTACTAATGATACTTCATATTCGTACGATTTATGATAATTTGTATCTTCTTTGAAAAAAAACAAAGTTAAACCACTGATCATAAAATTTTCAATGTGGGATTTTACTATTTTTAGTTATTTATGGTCGTTTTAAAAAATTAAAAATATAACCATTAAGAAAAAAATTCATTTTTTATTATATATTTAAATGTGATTGTTTAATTTATTTTAATAATTTAAAATTAAACAAAAAAAGAGAGAGGATGCAAAAATATGTTTTATTCATAATCATTAATTACATATATATGTTAATCATATTAGGAAATTCCGTAGCTTTTATTTAAGGAAATAAAATACATTGTTTTATACCTAGCAGAGTTGGTCCCTTAAAAAATGTCTATATATTATAGTCTTAAATGCAAGAAATTAAATGTTACATTATTTCATTCCTAGCAAAGTTGGTCCATTAAAAAATTAAAGCTGAAAAGCTCTGTGAGCTTGACACGTAAGCATGCTCTCAAAGGTTGTGCATTTATGAATGCTTCAGGATTAATATATAAGGGATTTTGAAAACTTATTTAATATGAATATGTATATTGAAAATGTAAAATGATACTTATAATGAATAAAATTTATTTTAAAGACACTTAAAATGAAATAATAACTAAAAACTGTGAAATATCGATTTTATATATCAATTACGGCTTCTTGCAAATATGACTCAAACTCAAATTTTTTTTACAGCAACACAAAGTCACATACAAAAATAATCTATGTTTTTTTGGAATTTTGATTTGCCCTATTCACCCTAAAAGTTTGGATTATTCACAAAATTTTCATTATTTTTTTTTTTCAAAATGTGTATTTTACTCAATCATCCTCATTTTCATAAAGTATTTACAATATTACCATTCCAATCAATACACCAACCATCATGAATAACCAAGGAAGCTCTTAATGCACCTAAAAATCATTTTTTTTCTCCTTCTATCTCATCTCTTATGAAATAAAAATAACATCTCTTTCACTTTTTCTCTATATTCATAAAAAATCCAAAATTTTAATTATAATTTTCTTTAAGGTTTATAGAGCCATTCAAGCTCACGATTCTTGGTAGTCGCTTTCGTTTGAGATTCTCACTATTTTAAGGTATGAATCAAGTTTTTTCCAGATATATCCGTGAAGGCTTCCGTGTAACTCTTCTAGATGTAGAAGACTTACACAAAAGTCTTCTAGTCAATGAGAGGATACTTTTTCAAATGACTTTAAGTGTGTCTTTCTGAGACGACTTCTCAGGAAGTCTTCCGATTTTCTTTGTTTTCAAAATAATTTTAAAAATCTCAGAGAAAACTTCTCTGTAAGGTGTCTACAATAAAAAGGTTAGTTTTGCATTTTAACACATTGTGTAAAAAAGTTGACCTTTTCTAGACAGCTTATAGGAAAGTTATCCTCAGAAAAGTAAAACTTCACTATTTAATTTTGTTAGACAACTTCCATGTAAGTCGTTTCGGATTACTTTTGCAATTGAAAAATAAAACTCGACTTACATGTAAATCTTCCGATAGACGACTTACATGTAAGTCTTCCGATAGACGACCTACACAGAAGTTTTCCAGGATTTTATTTTGAGATTCTGGTCAAACTTTGGTTACCACAGATGACTTTCGTATAAGTTGTCTACTGGAAGACTTACATGTAAGTCGTCCGAATGAAATTAAATATTTGAACTTTATTTTTCAATTGCAAAATTAACCCGAGATGATTTACATGGCAGTCGTCTAACAAAAATTAAATATTGAAGTTTTATTTTTCTGTGGATGGCTTTTCTGTAAGTCGTCTTGGAAAAGTCATATTTCTGACACAATGTGGTTAAATGCAAAACTAACATGTTTATTGTAGACGACTTAGATGGAAGTCTTCTCTGAGAATTTCGAAAACTTTTGAAAACAAAAATAAGCCAATATTTACAAAATATGCTACAGATTAGAGTTCTATGAAAGTCTTCCTTCGTAAATTTTGAATTGCAAAAATGAAATTTTTGACGACTTTCTAGAAGGCTGTCGGACGACTTCCCTCGTCTACATTAATGTTTAACAAACTTTAATATTCTCTAAAACAACAAAGATTTGTTTACATTTTCTTGTTAATTCATATATATTAGTCAATATTGTAACTCCTAAATGAAATTCATAACATAATTGGTGATATTTATGAGGCTAACAACATTCATGCTTATTAATATTTCTAGCTAATGAAAGAAGAATTCCCCAGAAATCTTCTACGTTAGTTTTTGTAAAACTTGTATTTTCAACTTTAAAATATTCTTTTTTTTTTAACTTTCAAAAGTGTTAAGTAACTTCGTGAATATCAAATCATATGGTTTAATGTGTCTTCTTATATCATAAGATATACTTTTTAACTTTCATGAAATTTAACATTTTAATTTTCTATTCAAATTTTGAGTTTCCCGGTTAAATTTATTTTCCTGCTTAAATTTTCTGTTTTAAATTTAAGTCTTCCGAGACGACTTCCGAGAAGTCTTCCAGAATTGAAAGTGTTTTATCTTTAAATTTATGTAATGTTTGATCTTTTGTAAATTTGACTAAGTTTTCTTGAGAATTCTTCTCTCTTAGTTGTAATAAATTTGATTAATTTTTATTGTGTTTTGATATTAAAGTTGTATCCATAACTTCAATAATGTTAATTTTGGCAAGATAGTATTGTAGACATGAACATATTTACCAATTTTTTTAATTAATATCTCTTCAAATTTATAAAAGAGTTTACAACTAAAATAGTACACATACAAATCAGAAAACATACCATAAACAAAACTATTATAGATCATTCTTTCACAAAGATAAGCTTGGACTCCACTTGACATGGGAGAAGACTCTGCTAAAAGACTTCCATAAGACTTTCAGAATACTTCCTTTAAAGTCGTCTAGTGTATTAAATGTAGAAGTCTTACTATCGAAGTCTGTATCAGATTTGAAAAACCTCCATATCCCAAAACATTCAAATGGGTTCAAAATATAGAAAATCTTTAAAAATAAGGTAAGAGTTTAGACAGCCAAATCTTTTTTCAAAATATAAGAGTTGTAAGCAACAAAAGGTTACCAACTAAACAAAATATGATTTATAGATCTACCTTTAAAGAAGTGGAAGACGAGAACCATTTAATAAAAACGTACAAAACAACTTGAGAAAAAAAATAAATGCTAAAGTTTTGTGTTTTAAAAAATGATAAATTGTGAAAAAGGTAAGAGTTTAAGTAATCAGAGGTTACCAAATGAAGAAAAATCAGACATAGAAACTTATTAAAACACTCGGATTTGTAATGACAGAGGAGATATGGAAGAAGACTCCGCCAGAAGTCTTCCAGAAGACTTACATAAAGTCTTCTGGTGCATTAAATGTTAAAAGACTTTTGGCAAGACTTCCATAGAAGACTTCCAGGGAAGTCTTACAAGATCTGAAAAACCTTCATATTCAAAATCATTAAAGTGGCTTCAAAACATAGAAAAACTTCAAAAATAAGGTAAGAAATTAAAAAAAAAACCAAAAGAGCTTTCAAAAGGTAAGAGTTTTAAGTAACAAGAGGTTAATATGATTTATAGATCTAGTTTTAAAGGAGTGGAAGTTGAAAACCTTGTAATGAAAAATCTTCAAAAAAACTAAATTAGTGAGAAGACATGAAATAACAATAGATTGATATAAATTTTAGTGTTTTAAGTTCAAAGAGATTAGAGAGAGGTTGTAGAGTTTTAGAATGAGGAACATTAGATTTTTGTTACAGCCATTTGAACGGAAGAGAGAGATTGTGTAAATATTCTTTATATAGGAAGACGATTCAGACTTTCAATTAAATCTTCTAATAGAAGACTTCCTAAAAAACTTACTTAAAAATAATCTAAAAATTTACTATTCGTCCAGAATAGTTCAATATGTTAAGCGGTAAACTAAAATATTTTTAGTGAGAATTAAAAGATTTTCCGAGAATTCTTCTAGCCCATAATATTAATCGCCAAAAGACTTCCTAGCAGTCATCTAAACCCTAAATATAAACCATAAATTTAAATAACTAACTAAATATAAACAAATTCTTGATTAAAGTTAAAAAATGTTTAATATACACAAAACTAAACACATATAGGTCAAAATTTAATTTTTCAAAAAATGTTAAGTTTACAAAATCTAACTCTAAGAATACATACAATACTT